CTGCGTTATCTAAATTGTGAATATTATCAGTCATCATCATCACTTAACTGCTGTTGTACCCAGTCCTTTCATGGAAGACTTTGAAGAACTATCCAGGTATCACAGGAGCTGGTGATTCAGAAGGTAGTAATCTTCTTTGTGCATCATGTGCTGCTAAAAGTGTTCTCCTGAAAAAGGAGGGAAGTAAAACTTCTGAAGCTTTGAAATTGTTAAAACACGTGTCACTCTTTTTTTGAGAGAGAAGTGTTCACCCATATCCTGGACAGATTCTGCTCCAGGTAATGACATTCCCTCTCTAGTTCCAATTGGATACATTATTCTTCATTTACTCTTTTAAAACACTTAACGTTGCTGTGTTGCTGTGACAATCTTGCTCCTTATCTGATCAGCTGGTTGTCCAATGCAATTTGAAAGATCTTTTCAACACAGGATAAAATAAAATAGGCTTTTCCTTTTACCAAATTAATCCTTATTTTTAAGAGTTTAAATTCCAGAGCTCAGGGCACTTTCTTGAATCTCTCTGCAATTCAGAGTACTGTGCTTTCACAACAGCCATGTTGTGAAACAGCTATTCCTTGCTTTATCTGACGTAACTGCAGTGATATAGAAGTAGTCTCTCAAAGACAGGAGAAAATAGATTAAAAAATAAGACCCCTGTAAATAAATGCTGACATTTACAGTTTAAATTGCGGTAGGTCCATTGCCTGTTCTTCCCCAGCTTAGAAAAACAAAGGTAAATCTTGCTCCTCAAAGCAGTTATCACAAGCTAGGGAGGGAGACAAATCACAAGAAAAAGGGAGTGCTGTATTATAGGAACAAATAGTAGGATTTGGGCCAACAGCAGGGAAAAGGGTCAGCCCAGTAAGAGATACTGGCAGGTAAGCTGGAAGAGTCATGGAACATCCCTAAGCGATAGGAAAAAGCATTAATTCAAAATAGTTTGGAGGAGGAAGAGGAGCAGAGGATTTTCCTCAACAATGAGGTAAACATATGGAAAGTGAAAAAGGCTTGGGAAAAAAAAATCTTGGGAGTTCAAGTTTCAGCTGAGCTTGTGATTAAACCCCTGTTTAAACAACTTTGATTAGTAAATGGCAATACATCACGAAGATGCAATGAAGAGAGGTTAAGATGCAGAACTGTATAATGGAAGCTATGTCAGAAGTGAAGGCGATAAACTAGTATCAGTGTAAAAATCTCAGGCTGAAGCTGTATCAACAGATATGAAGGCACAGAGAAATTGCATTGAGTTTGCAGGGGAAGACATGTCTCTGAAATGTCTCAAGGAACTATTCAGGCAGGCAGGTATTCCCACTCTACATGACTAAATCTTCTGAGTATGGAGAAATATCAAACGAAAATCACGTTGAAGGATAAAAAATGCTGAAGATACCTCACACATCTATGTCTCAGAAATAAGAGACATTTTTCTTTAGCATTGGAGATGATGTCTCCTTATTGCTCTCATGATCCAAAGCACATTCTGATCTCATAAACACTCTCTTGCTGGAACAACCGAGTCTCTGAGCTAAGAATCGATGTCTTTCAGTCCATTCACCAGAAAAGACGAGAACTTTGCTTCCTCTCTGAAAGCAAAGCAACCTCCTAGATTAACCGAATGACATTTCTTTTCCCTTCAGGACAAATTTCTAGAAAAGTTCACAGCTAGTTGGCATGCAGCCAGCACAACATTCCCTGGCACCACATGCCCATTAAACTTCAGAGTTTGCTGGCACAAGCCAGCTCTGCATTCTGTCCCAGAGATGGCTGTATTTCAGCAGTAATGAAACTGCAATACACATAGAGCCACATTCTTCGCTCCAACACCCGTGCAGCCCCAGTGAAAACAATGCAGGCAAAGTTAGAAAAATTATATGGAGGTGACCAAAGGCCACCCTGTCAAGCTTTTATTAAAGCATCATTTAAAAAAATATTCCTTTGTTTTCCCCAAATAACCTATCAACTCCCCCTTGCCCCCCACTAATTCCACAGAGCTTTTTAACAAGATGCGTCACTGTTGTCTTGCTCTTCTTCCATCAGAGGGGATCTTCCATGCTCCCTTGTAGCTGTTCCTCACAACAGACATGACATTATCAGACATCTCACCCCGTTAGTGATGAGCAGGCTGAATTAGCTCCAGCTAAGCACTGGTCATTGAAATAGGAGGGGTTTGAAGTACAGGCAGGCAACTGGTAAATTGGGAGACAGAAGTTACAGCCCAAAGGACAAGTGGTGCGGTGCTTCAGAAAGGTCTATTTGTCAGTAAGGTTTATGGGCACAAGCAGGTCTCTTCTTCTATTTTTTCGTTCGGTGAGCAGGCAGCTAGCTATTTGACCTCCTTCTTTTAAAAACTCCAGGTCAATGCTGGGTGCAGGCAGACCCTCTAAGGAAAGCTGATGCGTCTGTGTTGTTCCTATCCAACACAACAGCACTTTGGCCCTATCTCCCTCATTTCTTCCATATTCACAGTTCTCTGGGGAGTTGCTCTATCATAGGAGCACCTCTGCACTGGCACAGTTGCTTGAGTAACCATCAGCGAGCAGCTCAGGCACATGTGAAAAGCTTAGCAAGCTGAGCAGAACAAGCCCTGTGGAGTACCAGGTGAGTAAGCTTAACAGGCGCACCAATTTCTATTCGCCAGTCACACTGATATGAGTAAAGCTGGTTTACGAATTGCGCTGAGGATTAGCTAGATGATTCATAGGAAAATCCAAACTTAAGGGCCCGATTTACATTCAAAGTATGTGGCTGAGAGAGTTCGGAAAGGGAACACTCCGTCTCTTGCTCAGAATGGATCCTAATTGCCTATTTCTTCTAGTTACAGTGATCAATCTCCAAGCACGTCTATATTAAGTAAACCATATGTGTATATACGTGTATATACACTTCTTCTAAAATACTGAGTTTCAGATTCCCCTGTATGAAACTCAAAACGCCAAGACCTGCTCAGGGGAGATTCACTCAGACTCCCAAAGGCCCCTTCCTGTCTTCTTGTTGTACAGCAAAGAGCAGTATTTGCCCCACTGCCTATAAAACACAGGGCAGTTAAAGGAACACTGTAAAATATTATTATGGTAATGGCACACATCTGTTCCCAGAACACTGCTTGTTATTTGTGATTAATCTAGTTCACTGAAGAAAGTTGTGAGGGCAGAGGATATATCTTTCTCTTTGTTCCTTGCCTCTGAATATTTCTGGGTGCTGATAATAATACCTACTGACAGAAAAGACTAAAGAAACAGAAATGTTTTTTAATCTGGTGAGTAAACACGCTATACAGCTAATAACTGCATGAGATGCTCTTATGATTTTTACTTGAGAGGCTGTATTTTATCTATTTTGCCATCTCTCATTAATGATTTTTGCCCCGCATAGGACGCCCCACTGAGAAAGGACTGGTTTCTATGTACTTGATTTCTCACAACCTGAGCTCTCTTGCATTATCCGTCATTTACAGGGATTCATTATCAAAGTACTGCACAAGGGTTTAAGCTGTAAAACACCAAGAGATTTGTCTGGACTTTGGAAGAGATTTTATGACGTTTGGGATTTGGGAGCAATACTCTAAAAGAAAAATATTTTTTAAATGCGTCACTTTCTGGATGCCTTGAATCTAGATGAAGCTTCTCCTACCAAGGGCAGTTCATTTCACCGGTCATTCTTTGACTCCGTTTGCTCTGAGCTCTAGCATCTCCCACACATTCATTTGAAGCTGTACGGTCTCCAAACATTTATAGCAAGGAACTCTCCATCATGCAACTTGGGAAAATGTAATCTCTCTTTTTTTTTTTATCCCTTTTCTATCTCTGTGCTACAAACAGAAAGCCTGTGCTTCCTCCACACCCACTCTCCTTGCCAGAAGCCTCACTGCAACTTCCTGTCAGTTTTACACTCTGCTGTGGACTTCCTCTGGGCAAAAGTTTTATCTGAACGTACCACGTTAACTATTTGCTTACTAAGTGTTTCCTAGTAACGTAAATGCTCATTTATTTTTAACCTTTATCAGTTAAACCCTTTGTAACTGGAAAATATTAGTGACACTAGGGAAAAAAGTGCCTATGTCACTTAGGACTGAAATAAGCGAAAGGCTAAGATATACCATAATTATTTGCAGGCAATGGGCATCCTGCTTTTACAGCAGGGCTAATGATAGGCTGTTCACATCCAAAGGTGTAATAATCCACGTAAAAAGAGTAGCACATTGCATTTCTAAAACACCCTTCAACAGTGGATCTCTGACCCCTTTTAGACTGCCCTGGCATTTACGTTTCCAGCTCCTGATGTTCTAAATTAACTTAGAACCAACCATCATGTCCTTTTGACCCGTCTTTGAGCTGTAACTAACCCAGGGCTCCTACTCGGGGCTTGCAAGAACTTGGGGAGAGAGGGACCGCGTTATCCCGACAAGAACTTGGAGAGAAAGGGACGTCGGTTATCCCGATGGACGCGCTGCTGTGGAGCACGAGGCGTCTTTGGGAACATCTAAGAGGGCTGGCGACAGGGTTACAGATCACGGGCCTGGTACCGCAAGGCAACCCTGGGCTCTGCACTCTGGCTTTCACACGTTTTTCCAGCCCCTCAAACAGCACATCTTGCCCGTGCTCCATCCCCCCCCAGCCAAACTCTCCCAAGCCCAAAGCAGGGCCGTGTGGACGACGGCCCACGCGTCCCGTGGGCCGCCTCTCCCTCCCTCCCTCGCTGCCACCACAGGCGGCGGCGGGCCGGGGGCAGGCCGCAGAGCCGCAGGACGGGCGGCCCGGCCCTCCCTAGCGGGGTTTCCAGTCAGGGCAGCGCCCGGCCATCCCTTCCTACCCACCACCAGCCGCTCCGCGCCGGGGCTGTGTGTCAGTGCCGCCCCTCACCGCCCAGCCGGCCGCACCGACATGGGGCCCGCCGGGGCGACAGAG